AGCCTCCGAATTTCACTTGCGCGATTTAGGCTTCCATAGGTATTGATCGCAACGCGCCGTATGCGCCATCTTTTTTGAGGAGGCGTGTGATTATTTCCTCCATGTTAATTATATATGCATATAGATGTCGCCGCCATAGTACAAAAGGCACACCTAATTCGGAACAAGTGCTAGAATGGAAGTGCCGACTCTTACCCCCTTATTAATAAACGACGAATAAGCTTGGATAAGTTACTCCATGTTTTGCCTTCGTTCATTAAATGACAAATGGCATTTGAGTGACCACCAACCCGCACTCGGCCCGACTGGTGGGTCATGGCCCAATCTCCCTAATCTATCCATAGGGAAGGCCTGTGCCCCAGCAGTGGGGGCATTAATAGGCTAATCATGATGATGATGATGATAATACTATGAAAAAAAGCGCTGTGAATAACAATCGTTGACTGTATAATATCTTAAAAAATACTTAGGTAACTTCTTCTTAGTAATACGAATATCATATTATCTTAAATAGTATTATAAAAAACAAATATTCGATCCACAGACTACATTCGATTATAAAATAACAAAACTGTATGGCGTCTAAAAGAACACAAAGAACACTGCCCAATCGGTGCACAGGACGAGGGAATGAAAAAAGGCGCTAATTTCTCGAAACCAAAAAGTGGTAATGGTTATGCGTTGCAGCCAACGCGTTTGTCTCACGATAACGCGCGCTTACAATTAGCAGGGACCGGGTTATGCGGCATGAACTCAAGGCGATGCAGCTATAAGGTAACCTAAGCAAATAATTTAACCCCAAACCCCATCGTGATGTTTAGTATGTTTTTGCAACAGGAAGACAGGGCTGATCACTCCGCCAAGGCAGCTGGAGTAGCGCGGTGTCTGGCCCAAAGTTAAGTAAATCAACTTTACACAACAAAAGCAAAATTCTAATTCAAGTCCAACCTTCCCCTGGAAACATACTCAGAGCATGACACAATAATTATATTTACAGTCTTCTGTAATATAATAATAATAATAATAATAAATAAATATTTCCAACACTCACACCAATTAGCCTAGCCCCAAAGTAAGCACTGTAAGGCTTGTGTAATGGGATACTAGGGTAACGGATAGAATACATATACTTTACATATATAAATATATTTATATAGAAATACATATTAAACATCCATGACTGGAGTACAAATGCTCGTGTTCATCGCACAAACATCTGCCCCACCCGGGATTCGAACCCGGGACCTCTCGAGACGGCGACGCCATGAAACCCGGCGTACAAACCACTCGGCCACGGAGGTTGTATGAAGAATATTTTTAAGAATATTTTCCTAATACGCAAATTTAATAAATATTTGAAAGTAAGTTATATCTACGAATTGGAGCTGGTCCATCTCTCACAAAAATTCAGTAAAATAACACCATGTTAGTATAGTTAGTAAGGTGCCCGGGGACGTCCCAGTGAAGTGGCGCACGCTAAGGTGCGTCGATCCTGAGACGCCCCCATATGGGCGTAGGAGGGTACCGGGGGGTTTTACTGGAGTAGGATCAGTGTGGCCTTCCGCACTGGTCCTGCTTGAGTAGGGTCGGCACTGTTTCCCGTGCCGGCGAGTCCCACACACGCCGTGCGTCTAGTCAGCGTCACGGTATGGTGCGTAACTGCATTTCCCCTCGTCACAAAAAAAAAAAAGTATAGTTAGTAAGGTAAGGGTCTCACAGGCAGAGGTGGCCTGCGGCCACAGGCCCGAGCTTATTTATATGAAACTACTACCTACTGTAACTGACACTAATCGCAATCCTAACGTAATCGCCTTACGATGATACACAAGCTTGTCCCGAATCTTTCGAAGTTAGCTCGACAAAATAAATAAAAAATCATGATTCCGACGACCCATTCCTGCAAATAATGCGAAACGTCAATAAATCAAATAATGCACCTAACCCGTTAAAACTTGTTTTATTTAATGAGTGATGTGTTGGCGTGAAAACCTAAGAAACAAATATTTATTTATTAATTACATTTCAATGTCCTTACAGCTAAAAACTCACGCTGACTGTCGTGCCGGATCGCGAACTCACGAACAAATGAGCGAGGGTAGAATGAACAAAATAAAAATTGTATTATGCTCACTTATATCTTTGCTGTACACTTTTCGATTAGATAAATTATTTCACCAACACCGAGCTTACACTTTTACGAAAGCCAATAATTCAAATTTTCAGTCGAACTCTCAACTTTAACTAAATAAATAAAACTAGTTTTTAACGGGTTAATGCACGAAACTTTATTTATTTATTGACGTTTCGCAGCCTTTTCAGGTCTGCTTCGTCAGAATAATGTTTTATTTCATGAGTGATGTGCGTGAAAACCTAAGAAACAAATATGTTTAACTAAATAATTTTTCGGAACAACAAATACAGGTGTCAACTCGGTAACACATCGTTTTTTATTATATATATTTACAAAGTAAAATAGCATGTAAGATTGTTACATAAAGGCTATTATTATTAATATTTTGTCGAACTGCATGTACCATTCTGCATAATCCGATCTCAACTCGCAATTAGACGTGACTCGACCATAACCGTTAATGTTTAGCACCGGCCGCATATTTCTGCGCCTCGCCAACGCCCGTCTGCTCCTCTGCCTCTATCTGCGGATACAATCAAGTTACACCTAACTGTTATTCTGATCTACTGGAGGTTTTTCCGCCGTTGAAACCTCTGTTAATACGGAAAACCGAAAGAGGCGAGTATGTACTACATTCTTGTTTTTGTTGGCCTGAATATAACCTTGCCAATAGGGGTGATGACGGGGTACAGTAAACGAAATTCTATTTAGTCCATCAGTTAGATGATCAAAAAATAATGGACACGATTTTTTTCTTTGGGCAATCAACCAAAAAATGACAAAGTTTTAGCGCGTCAAAGTTTGGGAGTAGAGGCTCGTGACGTCACTTTTAAGTGAAAATTGCACCAAAATGGACGTTATGCGACTTTTCAAATCAATATATCTCTGCAATGTTTATATTATGTGAAAAAAGAAAAAATACGTGTCCAATAATTTTTAATGATCTACCTGATAAACGAAGAAAAAAAATAGTAATAAAAAATAACTATTGTAAGTAAATAAAACTAGTTTTTACGGGTTAATGCACGAAACTTTATTTATTTATTGACGTTTCGCAGCCTTTTCAGGTCTGCATCGTTTTATTTAATGAGTGATGTGCGTGAAAACCTAAGAAACAAATATATTGTAAGTAAAACTTGGTAAGTATGAGAGGCGGAAAGTTATCAGGCGACTGATAGTTTGTCTATGTATTCGCTGTTTTTAAGGTTCTGTACCTTAAGGGTAAAAACGGGACCCTATTACTAAGACAGCACTGTCATCTGTCAGTCTATCATCAGGCTGTATCTCATGAACCATGATAGCTAGACAGTTGAAATTTTCAGAGATGATTTATTACTGTTGCCACTGTAACAAGAAATACTAAAAACTGTTTAAAATTTATATGGAACAGCTCTCATACAATATACGTAATTTTTATACCGTGTTTTGCTCGATATTATAATACAGTCTTAATAAATATTAAATAAAATAAATATTTTTCCAACACTCACACCAATTAGCCTAGCCACAAAGTAAGCACTGTAAGGCTTGTGTTATGGGATGATAGGGTAACGGATAGAATACATATTCTGTACATATATAAGTATGTTTATATATAAATACATATAAAACATCCATGACTGGAGTACAAATGCTCGTATTCATCACACAAACATCTGCCCCCACCGGGATTCGAACCCGGGACCTCTCGAGTCGGCGACACCATGAAACCCGGCGTACAAACCACTCGACCACGGAGGTCGTCAATTAATATATAATCTTGTTTATAGAATGGTACGGAATTTCTTGCGCGAGACAGACTTGCTCTTGGCTGGCTTGTTTTTAATTTATCACTTCTGTCGTGTCGCATCGAGACGCATTAAATTACATGATGTTGGAGACCATGTCTTATCCCAGAATCATGAGATCGGAACTCGGTGAATTACTCTTTCAATAAATGGTGACGCTACTCTGCTGGAACCAAATGCACGAAAAAAAACCCCAGGTTTTAGTTTTAGGAATTATGAGCCAGTAATATTACCAATTCACAATGAGGGCAGCACCATCATCGTTTTCCAAAAATAAAGACCACTTAAACCTCTATCCCAAAATACGCATCAGATAGTCACTCTTTCAGAATGCAACGGCTTTTCGTGAGTCTCTTAAGGATTCTAAACACCAAACCGGTAGTTTCAAATTATCTCACAATTTGACTAATAGTATGTTGACTATTTACATGGTCGATAACGCACGAAACATTTAATGAATGGGCCTAGCTTTTTGACAATACATTTCAATGATTTCAACGCGTTGCTCAACTACATAGCGGCTGGTTAATTCAATGGCAAGCTTATAAAAATTTAATCTATCAAAAAAAATGCGCTTGTAGATGGTCTAATATATTATGTCCACCATCAGCTGTCAAAGATCCCTGTTCTTAAAGAAAATCCGTATATAATGCTAAGAAGTTTTATTCGACTGTTTTGTTTTATATTTTTAACAAAATATAAGCTTACCGTTTGTTTAAACAAAACAAAGAGTTAAACATAACCAGATGGAACGTAAACGTAATGAAATAACAATGGTCGGTCTCACCAAAAATCCACTACAAATAATTGTTATTCGCCTCACAAAACCCACTCGCAATCATAACCATTTAACAGTCAATTTTATTTGTCGATACCGCGCGATCCGAACCAGAGTTTATAAGCAATAAATGCGCAAACAGACGTTTCGGTGTTACATAAAATCAAATCAACAGTTATCCTGTGTGCCTACATCACAATCAGGCTTAATCGTGTATGTGACAAGTTGGCTCGTTCCAATCGGTAGCCAGGAAAGGTAGACCCGTGAGAAGGTTCACCGTTGCCCTTCGTTGATGTATGCTAACCTTCTTGGGGCGAGAGGAAGAGGTTCCAGCTAAACTGGTGGGTGGATAACACGCGCCTCTCCCGTTCTCTCCCGATATCGCAGTGACTGACGGACAAGCATGCATTCAAATTGGTTACTTTACTCTCTTCGCGCGTTCCCCCCCAAAGAATAAACATCTCACCCGGTTTCTGGATCCGCCAATTTGGTACAGAATTTGTTGTGGAATGTGGAAATGCTTTTTGAGGGTTAAATTGCATTTAATTCGCACTAAACAACGTCGGTTTTGATGGAACCACCCCCCGGTAGGGCCAGAGTGGGTGCGTTTGTTAAAGATGAAATTGTCGGAGTGAATGTTTGAAGTTAATTTGGGCGTCTGCTCTTGCCGTCCGATTAAGATGGGCGTCTATGGGAAATAAGGTCACATTGGAGTTAATATCAGCTGTTAACAAATAAGGCAGACCTTGTTTTTGGTATCTATACTTATAATAAATCTGTAGAGAAGTCAATTCTGTACATGAAATATATTTTCAAAATAACTATCAGGGGATGATTAGTGATCGATACTGATGCCAAAAATGCAATCAGTAAAATTTTTGTCTGTCTGTCTGTCTGTCTGTATGTATGTTCTTTATAGAAACAAAAACTACTCGACGGATTTTAACGAAACTTTGTACAATTATTCTTCATACTCCTGGGCAGGTTATAGTATACTTTTCATCACGCTACAATCAATAGGAGCAGAGTAGTGAAGGGAAATGTTGGGAAAACGGGAGAAGTTACTCCTTTTTGTAAGCTTCCGTCGCGTGTGCAGCTTTAATGGTTAAAGTTACATAGAAATCATGTATGACGGAAATATTCTACATAAAATTGTCTAAAAAATATCCCGCAACAGCATATGGCTATCTTTTGTGGTTGACTCACAATAACACGTGTAATTATATAAATAAAGTCATTCTTTATAGCACAAGCCTGAGAACAAAAACTATAGTTTACACTACAGCTCTACACCGAAGCGAAGCGAGGGCGGGCCACTAGTTGTTGAATAAAGTAGAATTGTTGGATGAAAACCTCGTTGTTATGATGAGAACGCGGTATTTCTATAGGCAGTACTAGTAAATGTCCAAATTATTATACATGTCCATTGTTGATGTATGTAATTGTTTGTGGAGTTAATAATCTTGAAAAAAATGGTTGCCTGTAAAGTCGGTTTTACGGGCGAAGATTTTACGTGACAACGTCTTTTTCTCGGTAGAATATTTATTGATATGAATATAATTAAATTGCACAATAGGAACAAGGAATTGAATGAAAATAAGAATTGCACAAATTTTAACTATAGAAATATATTTTGTTTACTAAAACATTGTACATGTAAACTTAAACTTAACACGAGAGACTCATCGTAACGTTACCGAGCGTTACACTTTTTCATAAGTGACTCCCAGCCGCAACCTAATTTAAGACGTTGTCACGTCAAAACGGAGTGTATAGGCTCTATCATGTCGCGAAAACAAAGCTTGTACAGTGTGCAATGTGAGATGAAAATAAAAGAAATGATTATTTGTTTTATGAAAACCGTTTTGCAATTTTTGTCTGCGAGATTTACCAATATATAATAAAGACACTTGTGTTGAGAATTACTCGAAACTTTTCATTTGGTTTATCTACAAAGACTTTATTATATTCGTAATTTTTTAATACCAGATGGAAAAAAATAAAAATCCGATAGTTTTTTTTTATATTTTCAAATATAATTTCAAATTGCAGAAGACGAGAATTACGTGAGAACAAAAAGTCGGTCCGTTCTGATTGCTCTTCAGTGTATTTCAAAATACAAGCACCTCACTGCTTCCAAAGTTGATGCCGAACTTTTTTGATTGATTTAGTTTTTATAGTTTTTTAAAGTGTTTATCTTAATATATATAATTCTTCTGTGAGTGTGTATGTCACTGAACTTCTTTTAAACGACTGGACCGATTTTGAGAGAATGGTTTAGATTCACAATTTTGTCCGCTGGACAACCCCTATTTTTTTAGGGCGATACGAAGTTCGCTGGGTCAGCTAGTGTAGTTATAAAGTGTTTATAAAGTTATGTTTTTATTTATTTTTAAGCATTTAACTGCTAGATGTTTAAATCTAAGGAAAAGTTTACTAGAAAAAAATCCACGCGGACTAGGCAGCGGACGGGACTCGAACCCGCACCCTTCGCAATCCGGGCGAATGCACTGACCATTATGCTACCACGGCCCTATTAGCCACGTCGTTTTTAAAGTACTAACATATTTATGATTTTCGCTATCAAAATTGTTATTGTTTCGACTTAATTACTCGCCGCTGACTGTTTTTGACTTAATTACATTACCTACTTATATTATGACGAGATGCATATACATATAACGAAACCGCAATAAAGATATACATATATATCTAATCGTCTTAATATGGATTAAACTTCGAAGTATTTTCCTGCCTACGTGATCTTCAGTACGCGGGACCATACAGTACAGTTCAGTACACTTTGAAAGAAGCTTCCGTTATGTACGTACATAACGTCTTTTTTGTCCCATTCGGTGTCGATACCCTTGGTCCGTGGGGTCCTAGCGCTGTAAGGCTTTTTAAGGAAATAGCAAAAAGGTTGGTCGTCGTCACAGGAGACCGAAGAGCTGGTAGCTACCTCGGACAAAGAATTAGTCTAGCTATTCAAAGGGGGGAACGCTGCCAGTATCTTTGGAACCTTGCCTAAAGGGACTCCTTTGAGTGATGTATTTTAGTTATTATATATTTTAAGATTTTTTTTAGTTTTAGTTATTACGTTATAATAGATATTATAATTGTCAAATATTCTTTACATAATATAATGTGTGTCATATACTGTACATATCGACGTAAGTACTTATCTATTAACATCTTCACATGACTTTTGAAGCGGAGAGATAGTGAGATGGAAAATGAAGGCTAGGATTTTTTACGCAATGGGTTTATTTACACTGTTTGACAACAATACACAAAATAATATTAAAAGCAGATGACAGACAAAGATTACGGGAACACAATAACAATAAATCTCACCGTAGAAACCGATGATGTGACTTTTAGGTCTAGACATTCATGAGTGCTTGAAACAACTTAAACTCGATATAAAAAAATCGTTTTGGTTGTAAAGTACCCTAGTTGGCTATCTAAAGGGTTTCTGGAGAACATAGTCTTAAGAATTAACAATAATGTTTTTGTAGCGTTCAATAATATAATTCAATTCAATTCAATTCAAACTCATTTATTCAGTCTAGGCTGTTACAAGCTCTTGTAAAAGTCAAACGCTACGCCATCGGTTCGTAAATCTACGGCGGGAGACCTTGTACTGAGAAGAACCGGCAAGAAACTCAGCAAGGGCTATTTTTTTCTCCCTGTTTTGTTTCATACAGTGTCGTCAATTGAAAGATGACATCAAAAATTGAATACATGTGTTGATGTCAACTTCCATCACATTAATATTATTAATTAACAAAAGTTAAGTATAGCTAGGTACTATTTTTAAATTTAGAAGTGGCGATTAAACAATTTTCAACCAAATCAGCAAAGTCGACAGTCTATTATGTTAAACCCAAGGTGACTTATCATTTATGAAATCTTTTACAGTATAGTAACCTTTCTTAAGGAGACATGTTTTTATACACACTTTAAACTTATTAAAAGGTAAATTAATTATTTCTTTTGGTATATTATTATAGTAACATATACCTTGACCCACAAATGAACCAAGAACCTTTTGGAGTCTCAATGGTGGCAATTTGAGTTTATCTTTATTTCTGGTATTGAAATTATGTACATCATCGCGCCTCGTATATAAATTTATGTTCTGACGCACAAACAATATACAATTGTAAATATATTGAGAGGCAACAGTCATTATACCTATTACTTTAAATTTATCCCTAAGAGAAGTTCGAGATCCCAAGCAATAAATAGCTCTTATAGCTCGTTTTTGAAGAATAAAAACTGTTTCAATGTCAGCGGCCGTGCCCCATAATAGAATGCCATACGACATAATGCTGTGAAAGTAGCTGAAGTATATTGTCCTAGCAGTGTCGACATCTGTATGCCGTCTTATTTTATAAATTGCATAAGCAGCAGAACTTAGTTTACCGGCTAGTGTTGTAATGTGAGGGTGCCATTGAAGTTTGTGGTCTAGTGTTACGCCTAAGAAAACGGTTAATACCGCGCAAACCAATTAGGTTCACCACTTTGTCCACCCTTAAGAAGAACGGTACTTGGTTCCAACTCCCCCATTGCGAGATTATCCTATACTCTAAAGAAATATAGTGACATTGTCGACATACATCATGACTCTGTGATCTCATTGCGAAACAAATTGTATGATCAGGTATTTACTCCGAATTCATAAAAAAATATATAAAAATATTTTGAAACATATTTATTTAAAGATACACACACGCTCCTAATGTACTTGATAATGACTTAGGTTTGAAAATTAACCGGTAAACAAGCCCTGATTAGACGTAGCATATGAAACTGTTTCTGAGAATATCTGAAAATATTTTCATTTTAATATATAAATCAAGAAAAGTAGTTATAAACTTTTGCAATTGAAATATATATTTCAATGTAAATACAAAAATTGAGGCAAGAAATATTTAAGTTAGATCGATATACAGGGAGAGTTTCAGCAAACACACAACTACCACAACGAAAATTATTTCAATGGATCGAATAAACATACAGCGCACCAACGCCCATAACTTTCATACAAATGTGAATAACCCACGCCGCGAGGTACGTCTAATTGAAACCTGCAACATACCTACAACGTCGAAACCAAACAGAGGTACAGGGGCACATTTGGAAAAGTTTCCTTACCCCACCCTCAAACGTGCAATAAATAAAGGGGGCACAACAAAAACTCTCGGAAGCATCACCTCGGCACGTCACCCCGCTCAGATTTCATTACCATAAAGAACTGGAGGCCTTAAAACCCCCCAGCAGTGTAAAAGGTGACGTATAACAACCAGCCGTCTAGAGCTACGGATCGCTACTCGTGTTCTCCTTAGCGGCACTCGTATGAAAGCCACCGAGGGAGGTAGGAAGGCCAGGCACGTTTTGACGCGC